GTGATTGAGCCCCACATTGGGCTCCCTGCTCCATGGGAAGCCTGCTTCTCCCTCTCCCACTCCCCCTGCTTGTTTTCCCTCTCTCGCTGTGTCTCTCTGTCAAATAAATGAATAAAATCTTTAAAAAAAGATCTTTTAAAAAAAAGAGAGAGAGAGAGAGTTCAATGAGTCTGATTGGCGTGGTCAATAGAGAATCTTTGTCAGTCCCCACTATGGTGCATGCTGGATGAGTTAATCATTTAATTAAGTAAATAAACTCAATGTACTCTGAATTTCAGTAAACTCAAAATTATGGCTTATGGTACCACTTTAAGATGAAAATGTTCAAATAAAAAACAAAGTATAGCATCCAGAAGCCACAGAGTTCAAACATTACTCAGAAGACAATTATGTCTTCTATAGCCAAGCGTGAGGCCCTGACACACCCAGATATGACTGAAACTAAGTACTTGAATAATTGAATACAGTCTTTAAGAGTCCCTCAAATTCTAGAGGCTAGTTAACACAATAACCTCACTAGGGATACTCTCTGCAATACCATTTATCAAGCCCCAGACTGAGCTTAGTAATGCCTGACTTGCAGGCAACCAAACATCCCACCGTCATAAACCTGTCGTAGTTCTTCTGTAATTAGAGTGTCTCAGCTGCCTCGGACAACTAGGCAAAAAGCCTTAGTATCACTCAAGTCAAAGTTTAGGAGTAACCAGCACCTCCATGGTAACTAGTGCCTTGCACAATGAAGTTCACAAAGGTATACCAGCTGTGATATGGGCTATGAGTTTACAACTGGTCTTCTGTTAGCAATAACTAATGTTTCTCTTTCCTTGACCAGTCAGATGAATTTTGGGTTTTTGTTTCTCTGAATTGTCACAGTCAGTTACTAAATCTACATGTGGGATTATATCAAAGATCCAAATGGCCACTATAGTCTAATACAAACAGAAAACACCTATTTGCTCATAAATGTCCTTTGTTCAAAGGCAGTAGGGACCTAATTGCATCGAATGTGATTAAGCACATTTGCAAATGCTGAAGGTAAATGCCATTGAAAACAAGTTTCAAAAGACGATACAACAGATGTTTTCCTTCTTATCAATTTGTTTGGCGCCTATAGAAATACCAGGCTCCTAAATGCTGCACGTAGGATGCAGACTGTTTTTTTCTTCTGAGGATAGAAGACTGGTTCAAAAATCTTGTCAGTTTTAAGTGATTTAATATTTATCTTCCTAAAAATACATGTTCTACAGTCCACCTTAAGAATGCACATTTTGTGAAAGCAAAACTATGGTTGAAGTCTCAAGCAAGCAAATGTCTTCCCAACCTATTCATCTCTTTCTCCACTTGTAAGGAATGTGTGGCAACTCAGTTTAGTCCCGCTTTTCTGCCAGGATCTAAAGTAAAATAAAACTCAAATCTTTCATTATCCATATGAAAGTCCCTCTTCCTTTGAGGAAGAAGAGTTTTGTGGTGACAGGCTCTTGTGGACCGTATGAATTTCATATGAGAATTATATATGTTTCATTCCAGTGGGATCCTGCCTTGCATGTCTTGTATAGATCTCTTTGCCCTGGATCTTTAAAAATCTATTCTGAGCATAGAGATATATCTCTCAATGACTGTTCCCACTGTGTAGCCTTTCCAAACACATCTGACTATTGAAGTGTTCATTTCTGATTGCCACCAGGGAGAGTTTTAATGTATAAAGGCTCTCATAAAAATTGTACTTATTTCTTAGTACCAGTCACAGTTTGTGTTCAAATTTGAAATAAGTCTATCTTTCTCACTAAACTGTGAGCTCAATACTGTGTCCCCAGTTCCCAGTACTATGCCTGGTACATAGTAGAAGGTCCATAAGTACTTAATTATGGGTGAATGAGTGAATCTATCCATCAATTAATTCTTTGATCAGATTATTTTTTCCTTCTCCCCAGTTTCACTAAATTATTTTAGATTTCCTACCATTCTCCCAAAGCACAAGTTCACCTATTGGATAAGATCCAATTTATTTTATCCTAAACATTAACAAGATAAGGAGTTAAAACAGTTGAAGAAATAATAGTAGCTACTTTGACCTCACATTGTGGCATGGAAAGTAAGATTTATCTTAGAGATTATAATTAGCAGGGATTTTTAAGATTACTAATTCAAATCTAGTCCTATTCTCTCAGGAGGGTCCCTAACTGCTACCATGCACTCCAGCTAATGATGTGCTATAGCTCAAGATTAGAACAAATATGCCACAGAGCATCACTAGTAACATTTATTGGTGTCTCCCTTTGCAATGACTCTTCTCTCCTCCTCATACATCCACTTTTAATTTTTTTCTTCCTATCTTAACTGAGTCTTCCATCTGCCAAAGGGACCTGAAGCTTGGACACCCACAGCTAAAGGGATTAAGGAGCCCAGAACCAGAAAAGGATTGAGACGTTATTCCCATTTTTAGTTCTATCATGCAAGAACTGGAAGATTCAAATTAATCAATCTTTAGGTATTAACTTTTTAAAGTATATTGGTGATACCTAGATCAATCTCACTCCCAGAGATGCTGGGATGATATGTGAAATGATATCTATGAAGTATTTTTTACAAGAAGCTATGCAAATCTAGGGTGCAGTATTATTGCTCCTGGACTACCTATATTATGAAATCTTGCTTATTATGGTTCATTTGCATTTACCCCAAACTATAAGAAAGACAGCTGTATTAAGGTGTGGAGACAGTAGTTTTTGACTTATAGCAACTAGAAAAGTCAATATATATAATTAGATTAGGGGTATCTCTAGAAAAATTTAGGGATTGCGAATTCCTAGTCCAAGGATGCCAAAGAAATGTTTACTGGGGATGCTGAAATTTTTAGAGGACACGGAGAAGTTTGGGGGTAATAGCGGGACTCTAACTCTCCTTTAAAGAGTATGCTCAGTGAAAAAGGCAGAAGGGAAGAAGAAGACTCATAGCAGCAAAATTTACTTCAAATTGTAGAAATTCAGTAAAGTTGTATTTATTTACAATTAAGTTGCCCCCTTATCTTCACCTAGAGGTTGGGAGGTTGCTGCTGTTCGGCCTCAATGGAGATCACATGCTTCTAGTTCAAGGAAATAGGAAAGCCCAGATAATGCCTCCACAGTGAGGTCACCTCTGGCCTAAACGTAACTACAATGAGCATAGCCGAGCAAGGGCGAAACATCACCAAGCCTTTTAGGTGCATCTTAGGCCAAAATGGAGAGTAGTTGTGAGCATGATTATCTAAGAAAGTGATGTTGGAGAGGCCTATTTCTAGCATTTTTCCCCCAAGTTCAGGCCACAGACTATTAGTGGGCCATAAAACTGATTTAATTGGTTGTAATGAGCATTTTTTTGAAAAGAAGTGAAATTGACTATCATAGAGCGGAATGGCTAGGCTAGGCTAGAACAGGGCAGGACAGAATCAGAAGCACGAGAATACCATCATCACATACAGTAAGCAGATTATTTTATGAACATTTTCTGTCTGTTATATATTTACAAATGTGTGCACTGAGTCACAACATAAAATGTATTTTTTACTGTGGCATGAACGAATCAAGCCACTCTGATCGCATAAGCGTTAGATTCTGAGGTACCTGGGTTTTGAGTGCTGAGAATAGGCTCTTGCAAGTTCTCAAATCTCATTAATTTAATTTCTTCAGCAACCAGAATAGAATTCTGATCTGTCTGAAGATTCCTTAAAGTAATGTCTATGAATGACTAAACTGCTATAAAGGCTCCCATGTGCATGTAAAAATATTAAATAAGGTTTGTATGTTTTTCTCCTGTTAATCTGTCTTTTGTCAGTTCAATTCACAGGCTCCAGGTGCAGAATCTAACAGGGTTAAGGCAAGTTCTTTTTTCTCTCATACACCTGACCCAGAGAAAATACCAAATAAATGTAAGTTGTTCCTGTTTTTATTAATAATATTATCCCTTGCCTCCACCCTCTCGTATGAAAGACAGGGAAAAGTATGACAAAAGAAGGCAAAGTCCAAGACTATTTCATGATTCATAGACCTGCTAGCATTAAAGCTTCCCTAGGAAATTTTAAAAAAATTGTTTTTTTTTTACTCTAAATATGTGAGCATTATGGAATTGCTCTGATAGAACTGAGATACTCAACAAATTCATACAACCGTGGAGCCAGATCTGATGATGGCGTTCATCAGCAATGGCGTTCATCAGCACACAGCGTGATCTGAGAGGGAACCTACATGAGAAAGTCTTCATGGATCATGACTCTATCAGCAGATCAGACTGGCTCTAGTTTTCATGTGCCTTGCATTAGTTTGGCTGTGACTGCTTCTTGGCATCTTATGGAGGAGTCCACTAAGAAAGTAACCTTTTCAAGCTCAGACTTCAAACTCTTCACTCAGCCCGATGGAAATATTTTTCTAACTTGTCAAATGTGATTTATCCAGGCAGTTTTCAGCCTTTATATCGGATTAGTGGAATAAGTAAGTGGCATATAAATAGTGACATTTAAAACGAATAATAGCAAAAATTATTAATATAGAATTCAGATATCTCTACAGTGTTTGGTGGTTATATATTAGTTTGGCTGAATGAGCTGGCTCTGCTTCCATTTCACAAAAGAGGAGGAAGAGCTGTTACCAAAACTCAAAGAAGTGATGGTTAACAAAATTATTTCTCAGCACCAAATTTCCTTTGGCTATTAGCATGTTTATTACCTCTACGAGATACAAGTACTCACTAATAATCATTACTGTTGTTGTTATTAAAATAAACAATATACCTAGCATATCACATATATCAAAATGTGTGACAGATGCTATCCAAAAAGAAAAATTAATTATAAAGTCAACCTTTTAATGCCATTAGAAAGATCCATTAGTACCTAGACTTATCTCTGCCCCCCTACACTCTTCCATAAAAACCTGAGCACATTTACCCTTGTCAATGAGAAGAGCAGGCAGTTGTACTTGTCTCTTCACCAAGAACAGAGGAAAGCAGAAGTACCCTATGGTTCTCACCTGAGACAGGGGAAACAGGAACTCAGAGTGACGGGCAACTAAGGATCCGGCTAATTTATGACAGGATGGGAGTGTCCCTAAGACTCACCTACTAGGAGATGGCTGAAGGAAAAAAAGGAATTCTGAGAGAATGGGGAAATCAGAATTTCTGCAGCAGAGATTCTGCTTTAGAATTTTTGAAGCATTTGGACCAACTATGAAGTTGGGGGATGGACCAAATATGAGGGTGGGGGATGGGGACAAGATCTTTATAAGACCTACTATTTTGCTACAAAAAAAAAAAAAAAAAAGCACAAAACAGAATAGACAGATAACAAGATAACTTCAAAGATTTAAAAAGAAACTTCCAAGGCACGTGTTCACTTGTCAACATAATTATAGGGCAGTGAGTCTCTCGAGGTTGAATCTAATTAGTACTTTAGTTACTTAATGAATGTTTATAATTTTGAGAAAAAAATACTGTTTTTATTCAATTGTGTATGGCTCATTTACTTTTAATTCTTAATATGCAATAGCTACAGTTTTAAAAATCCAAGATATAAGTAATATTTATTGGTTGCCTAAACTGCTTTCAACAAATGTGCAATATTTGTTATATTTTAAATGTTGACACGAGTACAGCAAGCCTTTCATTAAAATGTCATTAAGAGACAGTGTTTACAGGAAAGCAGTTTCAACCAATCTTTAAAATCAGACAATCAACGACTAATTAGGAAGTCATCTAAGGGTTTTTAGTTAACAATTAGTTATGGTGTTTGAATGTCTCCGTAACACTCTGGGGTAAGAATTATCATCCTCATTTTCTAAATGAGGAAGTAAGCATTAGCAAAAATTAAATAATTTGCCCACCAACCCAGTTCTAGCTAATTCTGAAAATCTTGCTCTTTACAATGTCCTCTACTGGACAGGTCACTATTATTACAGAGATGAAAATATAAAACAGGATATTTTCTGAGAAGGGAGACTGAATATTTTAATGGTCTAGGACACATGTAGATATGGACATATTTCCACTGGCATAATTAATCATCATAATTTGCTATTAGAATCAACTCACTTGAGAAAAAAGGAATTAAAGCCCAATCTAAATATCTTCAAAGGTGTGCAGTTAGACCCCGTTTGCAGTGCGCTTACTCCTAAACCCTGCCTGCTTTTGATGTCAATAACTTTAACAGAATGTTCACCCTTTCTATTAATTTTTTGGTGCAACTCTTGTTTTTTGTTTATTTACCCCAAATGATTAGTGGCATTAATGTGGCAATCATGTTTCATATTTTGACTTCATTTATTCGGTTTTGAACAGGAAAATGGAAATGCTGTGTTCATAGTTACTAACTTTCCACATCACAGGACCTAAGAAGTTAGAATAAGAAGTCCTTTAAACTAAAAGACTAACCCTTTACTTAAATTAGAGGTAAATTTGAATTATTTATGGGGGTCTTTTATTTCCCAGTTAATGTGTATTACCTTCTAACTTTGCCAAAACTGATAAATTGAAGTACACCCTTGTCATACAACTTTCTCAGAAAAATACAATGTAGGATGGGTGAAGTCTGCACCCATCAGCACTGAGCCTACACATTTTTGTCATATAAAGCACGTTGAGGAAACAGAGGACAAAGGGCACTGACTTGAGTCCAGCCTCAGTCCCAACTCTGAGAAGAGAGTTGAATAGTCACTAACATTTTAATTTTCTTCCATTCCTTCCCTTCCTCTCCCTTCTTCCCTTCTCTCTCTCAGACACTGTAGACATATTAACACATTTCTTCCCAATAATAATCCTAAGAAGTAGACACAAGTTTTGTCCCTGTTTTACAGATGCTACTCAACTTTTTTTTTTTTTTAACCTCAGGCAAGCAAGTTTTAGTTGAATCCCTTAGATTCAGATTTCAGAACCATATCTACTCCATTACCAAAGTCCTGGAGAGCCTTAGCTCAGCAGTTCAGATGAGGAAAATAAACCAGTTGCTGTGAGACCAGGTGGGTTCTTCAGTTCAAGAGATTTGTTTTATCAAAAAGCTAGCTTGGATGATATGTGAGATGTTTCTGGCTATCTTCAAAGATTTAGACTCAAATTTTAAAATCTCAGGGAGAGAACTCCAGAAAGAGCCCAAAGAGATGTGGCTGGAACCAAGGTCCCAAATCAGAGGGTTGGCTAAAACTAGACCGTGTCCAGAAACCCTTAGTCTCTTGTAGCATTGGTGTCTGTAGTCAAGTATAGGGTACTACCTGAAGGGACAGAATTGTTCCACACCTCAACCCTGCCCCTTTCCATATTCCTGCTAGTGACAAAACTGGGAAGTCTCCATTATTTTTGTCATAATCTGCCTAAGTTGGCTGGCACCTCTAATGCCTCCCTCTTCAACCAGAAATAATGTCGTGGATTCCCCTTAATTCTTCTGTGCCTGTACTCATGGGCTGCCCTCTCTAGGCTCTGGTTATAACCCACTGCTTCTCCCTGCTTGATCTGTTCTGATGCCTGAAGGATATTCCTCTGTGCCCTGGTTTTCACTTCTTTGCTTAGAACATTCTGGTGAACACTGTAGTACTCTGCCTGCTTTGGTTTTAATTCTGGTTTCTCCTCTGTACTTTATCTTAAAACTTCTCTTGCCTATAATCTCTGCAACCCAAATAAGGCTCCCTACACTCCAAGGTCTGCCATCTACTTGCTTGCAATTAATTAAGATCTACTTCATGATTCTGATCTTACCTGGCCTACAACCTCAGTTACAACCAACTTCTTTCTTGCTCCAATTCCTTAGCTAATTTACCTCTATTTAGATTTTCATGATATAATAATTTAATAGGCTCCCTTAGCATCTTTGTTACTTGCCTAAGTGAGAATTTCAGACACTGCAGAAGAATATTGAGATGTTCTAGAATCACTGGGGCATCTCAAACTATACCATAGGTGCTGATTACTTAATTTGTTAATTCACTATTTTATTTTTTTTAAAGATTTTGTTTTAAGTAATCTGCACACCCAGTGTGGGGCTTGAACTTATTTTAAATGTTCTTTTCAAGTTTTGTAAGAGCATTTGCTATAGTCTCAATATTTGTGTCCCCTCAAAATTCATATGTTGAAATCCTAATACCCAGTGTGATGGTATTAGGAGGTTCCACCAACTGAGCCAGTCAGGCACCCTGATTCAACTATTTTAAATGGAGCGTTTATTACATGTCAAGCATAGGCATGGAGGATACCACATAGACCAGTGTCTGCTCTATGGAGCTTGCACTTAGTGTGAGGAGACAATAAGCAAGTAAATAAGCAAATAATTTCAGAATGATAAATGCTGTTTTAATCCATTTGGGTTGCTATAACAAAACACCACAGACTAAATAGCTTGTATACAACAGAAAATTATTTCTTACAGTTGTCAAGGCTAGGAAGTCTAAGGTCAAGATGCCAGCACAGTTGGGTGTTGGCCCTCTTCCGGGTTGCAGACTTCTCTTTGTATCCTCACATAGTGGAAGAAGGCTAGCAAGCTCTGTGGGGGCTTTTTCATAAGGCCACTAACTCCATTCATGAGGACCCACCCTCATGACCTAAGCACCTCCCAAAGGCCCCACCTCCTAATACATCACACTGGGTATTAGGATTTCAACATATGAATTTTGAGGGGACACAAATATTGAGACTATAGCAAATGCTCTTACAAAACTTGAAAAGAAGAATGAGAAAGACAGCAATTAGGGTTGAAAAGGCAAGTCTTGTCCACTTTAAAGTGTAATGTATAATGTTGACTCTTAAAGAGATTGTATCAGTTAACACTCCTTCCAAAAATTAAGAAGGCTGAATCCCCATACCCAAACTAACACTGTATTGTTATACTTTATAAAGACGTTGCCTATCTAGGTAATGTAAAAATGGCATCTCATTGTCATTTTAATCACAATTTCTTTTATTTTGAGAAATTGAGCCATTTCATAGTTTCTTTGGGGTGATTTTCTGTCTTTGTCCTTTTCCCATGTTAGGTTTGCGTTGTTTTGAACTGATTTGTTTAAGAGCTCTTTACATAAAGGAATTAGCGCTTTGTCACATGGTCTAAAGGGTATTTTCCACTTTGTCACATGTTCTAAAGGGTATTTTCCAATTTGTGTTCTAACATGTCTGTTTGTTTGCCTAAGTGAGAATTTCAGACACTGCAGAAGAATATTGAGATGTTCTGGAGTCACTGGGGCATCTCAAACTGTACCATAGGTGCTGATTACTTAATTTGTTGATTCAACTATTTTATTTTTCTTTAAAGATTTTGTTTTAAGTAATTTCCACACCCAATGTGGGGCTTGAACTTATTTTAAATGTTCTTTAACAATAAACATATTGTTTCCATTTAAAAGGCAAACTTCCTTTTTTATGCTTGTCTCTAAATATTTGGAGAACAAAATGATTTCAGGTCAGATTCCCTAGCAGCTAACCTAGGATAAGGTTTCATGTGCAATGATTTATTAAGGAAGTTTTCTCAGGGAAAAAAAACACTTAAGAGAATGAAAGAAGCAGAAAGGAGACGTAGCCAAGAAATGATGCAATTTCAATAAGGTCCTGAGGAGGGCAGCATAAGCCTGCTCACGCAAGGGATCCAATTAGGGAGGAGGGGAAACAAAACCACACTGAACTGGAAGGAAGGTGGAGGGGAAGCACGCTGAATATGGGGAACTGGATGCAAAACAAATTATATAAGGGATCTTGGGGGATCTGTGTGGGCATTGCCAGTGTCTGTTAATAATGTGTGGGTCAAGAGTCAATGAAAGGAAGGAATAGGGAAGTTCAAACCCAATATTTGATTTCAATGTGGAAATCTCTTAATATTTACTTGTGATGAATTATTAAACAAGGCAACAGAAGGAATCTACCCAGTCAGGACAATTTAGTCCACCCTGACCCAGTCACTAATGATTACTCATGTATAATTTGTTTTCTCCTCTCCCTCACCTCTTCCTGGATTTTGACAATCAAACCCGATGGTGCCAAAGTTATGGGGAAAGTCAGTTTTGAATAAGTTGAAGGCCAAGTAAATAACTGTAGGTTAGATCTTGGGAGTCTATGAAAAGAGGTAATGGATTGAAAAGGGGAGGTTTGGTCTTGGTTAAGGAAC